CACCATCGGGTCCCTCGGGTACGCGTGGCTGGGTGATGGTGGGGCAGGTTTCTCCCCCCTCCAGTTCCCTCAGCCAAGGTGGGAAATCACCTGGGCTCCCCACCCAACTTCGCTCCGGCTGGCGCTGGGCTCCCAGCCCATCCTGCCTCAGTTTCCCCACCCATCACGAGGCCAGAGCAGCTCTCTGGGGCCGCCCCGCTCCCCCCCAGTGTGTCCCCTCACCAGCCCCACTGTCCCCACAGATCTTCTGGGAGGATGGGATCATGTCAGGGTATCGGCACCCCAAGAGCTCAGCCCTTGACTGCGTCCTCAGCTCCTTCCAGATGACTAATGAGACAGTCAACATCTGGACACACTTCCTGCCGACCTGGTGGGGATGGGGACGGGGACAGAGATGAGGATGTGAATAGGAACGGCGATGGGCATGGGGCTACGGGATAGAGATGGGAGCGGGGGTGGAGATGGGAATAGGGATGGGGATGGGGATGGGAATGAGGGATCCCATTGGGGATAGGGACAAGGATGGGAATGAGGGAAGGATGGAGATGGGAATGGGGACAGAGACAGGTGTGGAGATGGGGACAGGGATGGGGACAAGCATGGGGATGAGGAGGGGATGGAGGTGGGGAATGGGATGGGATGGGATGGGGTGGGATGGCATGGGGATAGGGATGTGAACAAGCATGGGGATGGGATGGGAATGGAGATGGGATGGGGACAAGCATGGGGATGAGGAAAGGATGAAGGTGGGGAATGGGATGGGATGGGATGGGGTGGGATGGCATGGGGATAGGGATGTGAACAAGCATGGGGATGGGATGGGAATGGAGATGGGATGGGGACAAGCATGGGGATGAGGAGGGGATGGAGGTGGGGAATGGGATGGGATGGGATGGGGTGGGATGGCATGGGGATAGGGATGTGAACAAGCATGGGGATGGGATGGGAATGGAGATGGGATGGGGACAAGCATGGGGATGAGGAGGGGATGGAGGTGGGGAATGGGATGGGATGGGATGGGGTGGGATGGCATGGGGATAGGGATGTGAACAAGCATGGGGATGGGATGGGAATGGAGATGGGATGGGGACAAGCATGGGGATGAGGAGGGGATGGAGGTGGGGAATGGGATGGGATGGGATGGGGTGGGATGGCATGGGGATAGGGATGTGAACAAGCATGGGGATGGGATGGGAATGGAGATGGGATGGGGACAAGCATGGGGATGAGGAGGGGATGGAGGTGGGGAATGGGATGGGATGGGATGGGGTGGGATGGCATGGGGATAGGGATGTGAACAAGCATGGGGATGGGATGGGAATGGAGATGGGATGGGGACAAGCATGGGGATGAGGAGGGGATGGAGGTGGGGAATGGGATGGGATGGGATGGGGTGGGATGGCATGGGGATAGGGATGTGAACAAGCATGGGGATGGGATGGGAATGGAGAGGGCTGCGGACGGCGGCTTTCGTGTACCCCTTCCTCTACGACAACATCCCGCTCTTCTACCGGGTGAGTCGGGCCGTCAGGGGTCAGGTGCCACCACCACGGGGGTCCCCAGGGGTGTCTGTGTCCCCCCCCTCCTCTCTGCTCACCCGCCTCCCCACAGCTCCTCTTCTGCCTCTGGAGTACCTGTGCCTGGAGCGATGCTGTGGCCGGGTACTGCTACCACCTCCTCTTCGCACTGCTCACCGGCTTCCTCTTCGCCTCCCACCTGCCCGAACGCCTGGCGCCCGGCCGCTTCGACTACATCGGTGAGAGCAGCCCCCTCCCAGTACCTCCCAGTACCTCCCAGTGCCTCCCAGTGGCTCCAGTCCCCTGTGGTCCCCCCCCTCCGCCAAAGCAGCGGGAGCTGGGCAAGGAGTCGCAGCACCCAGGGGGTGACATTGACA